TTGGGAGGCCAAGTCAGGCGGATCACCTGAGGTCAGGAGTTCGAGACCAGCCTGGCCAACATGGTGAAATCCCATCTCTACTAAAAATACAAAAAATTAGCAGACAGGGTTCAGCATGTTGCTCAGGCTGATCTCCAACTCCTGGGCTCAATCAGTCCTCCCGCCTTGGCCTCCCAAAGTGCTAGGATTACAGGGATGAGCTACTATGCCCGGCCCCATTTTGCCTCTTCAATGATACATCACCCGCTCCTACCCACCGCCAGTCTGTTCAGTCTGTTGCAGAAGTTAGCATGGGACCTTCCTGGGGCCCCAGGGGCCTCGTGTCCCTCTCTCCTCCTGGGCCATCCCACTCCAGTCGCACAGGCCTTGCTACTTTTGTCTTGCAGCAGGCCAGTTCCAGGTGCAGGGCTTTCCCATTATTTTTCTCCCTGCGTAGAACTTGCTTTCCCCAGATAGCTGCATGTCTTGTTTCCTCCATTTCTTCAGGTCTCTGAGACTTTCCTGACCACCCTACATAAATTAGTAAGCTCCCATCCCTGACACTCTTTTTTTAATTTTTAAGTTGTTATTTTTGTGAGACAGTCTCACTCTATTACCCAGGCTGGAGTGCAGTGGCGCTATCTCGACTCATTGCAACTTCCACCTTCTGGGTTCAAGCAATTCTTATGTCTCAGCCTCCCCAGTAGCTGGGACTACAGGCACGCGCCACCACACCTGGCTAATTTTTGTTATTGTGTTTTTTTTTTTTTTTTTGCAGTAGAGTTTCCATCTTTTCCGTCTTTTTTTTTTTTTTTTTTTTTTTTTTTTTTTTTTGCAGTAGAGACGGCGGTTTTGTCATGTTGGCCAGGCTGGTCTTGAACTCCTGGCCTCAAGTGATCCACCCACCTCAGCCTCCCAAAGTGCTGAGATTACAGGAGTGAGCCGCGCCTGGCCTCTGACACTCTTTACACCCCTTTTCTTGTTTTCTTTTTCTCCATAGCACTTGTCACCATCTGACATATCATGTATTTCCTTTTTCTGTCTGATGTTCCCCCTAGAACACAAGCTATAGAGTAGAGATGGTTTTGTTCATGCCTGTATCCCCAGGACTTCTAATTTCTTGCCCATCATAGGCACCAAATAAGTTCTGGTTGAAAGAATAGAGGCATGACTATTATTGTGTGAATGCTGCAAGTATGCACTAAAGAATCCGTAACCACATTTCTGAGCATATAGAGAAAAAAAACTGATAATGGCAGGAAAGTCTCCTAGCTTCCTCCCGGCGGAAGAATGTCCGTCACTTTTCCAGGACACTGACCTTATAGAGGAGGGCTTTGAGTCTATTCGACATACAGTCCTTGTGGCTCCCCAAGCTGCGTGTACAACAGGCACTGGTGTTTTACATCAATGTTCTATGAATGCTCATAAAGGCTGAAGGGGATTCTATCCACTGGTAAGTACTGCACATAGAGCAGTGCTAGGGTCTTCGGGACCCCAAAACCCTAATGACCCCTTTGACCTAAGTCCTGCTGATTGATGATTTTGCTGATTGGGGCATGTGCCAAAGGGAGGCAACCATCACCTGGAGGTGCCTCTTGGGGGATTTTAGATTTGTTGTCTTCCCAATGTTAAGAGATACACCCCTTTTGAAAAGCAGCTCTTAATACAGGCACTCATGCCTGTAATCCCAGCCCTTTGAGAGGCTGAGGCAGGAAGATCACTTGAGGCCAGGATTTTGAGACCAGCCTGGACAACATGCAAGACCCTCATCTCTACAAAAAAAAAAAAAAAATTAAAAATTCTCCAGGAGAGGTGGCATTCACTTGTAGTCCCAGCTACTCGGGAGGTTGAGGCGAGAGGATTGCTTGAGCTCAGAAGTTCAAGGCTGCAGTGAGCCAGGATCACACCACTGCACTCCAGCCTGGATGACAGAGCAAGATGCTGTCTCTTAAAAAATCCTAAGCACCTTGCCGGGCACGGTGGCTCACACCTGTAATCCCATCTCTTTGGGAGGCCGAGGCGGGCAGATCACGAGGTCAGGAGATCGAGACCATCCTAACACAGTGAAACCCCGTCTCTACTAAAAATACAAAAAATTAGCCGGGCATGGTGGTGGGCGCCTGTAGTCCCAGCTACTGGTCAGGCTGAGGCAGGAGAATGGTGTGAACCCAGGAGGCAGAGCTTGCAGTGAGCCAAGATCATGCCACTGCACTCCAGCCTGTGCGACAGAGCGAGACTCCGTCTCAAAAACCAAACAAACAAAAACACCTGAGCACCTGACAAAGTGTACACAGCACATCCTCATAAAGGCCTGGTGACTGATTAGTCCCATTTTGGGGTGGTATGATTCCAACTCAAAGCTAACAATGTGGGAAGGGCCTGACAAACCTCCCTTGTCCGATGGAAATGATACATTCAGTATGCAGCTGGCCTGGCCCTAGTGGCATTTTGGCTTTACATAAAACAACAACAACAACAACAACACAAAAAACGGCAGCTATTCTTTTAGGGGACATTTTATCCTCCGCCCCACAGCTCACAATCCACAGAGGTTCCCCTAAAAGCCTGTGCCTGGTTCACTGATGGCTTGGCTGAGCTGAAGTCAGTGCTGTCCACTGGGCTGCTGTGCGGAATGGAAAGCAGATATGGTCGTTCCACTTGGTAGGCAGAACTCACAGCTGTTCTCATAACCCAGGTCAGTCTTCTTTGATGAACCTCCTGTTATATTTTTACTGACTCAGGCTGCTGATAATGACCTAGCTCCTTAGTTGTGCCACTTGGAAAACTACAAACTGGCAGATTAAATATTTCTCTAGCCTGGTATGGGTGCACACCTGCAGTCCCAGCTATTTGGGAGGCTGAGGTGGGAGAATCACTTAAGCGCAAGAGGTAGAGGCTGCAGTGAGCTGTGACTGCACCTGTAAACAGTCACTGCACTCTAGCCTGGGCAATATAGTAAGACACGTCTAAAAGTAATACTTTTTTAAAAAAGATTTATGTTAGCTGGGTACAGTGGTTCACGCCTGTCATCCCAGCACTTTGGGAGGCCAAGTCAGGCGGATCACCTGAGGTCAGGAGTTCGAGACCAGCCTGGCCAACATGGTGAAATCCCATCTCTACTAAAAATACAAAAATTAGCTGGGTGTGGTGGCGGGTGCCTGTAATCCTAGCCACTTCAGAGGCTGAGGCAGGAGAATGGCTCGAACCTGGGAGGCAGAGGTTGCAGTGAGCCAAGGTTGCACCATTTCACTCCAGCCTGGACCATAAAGCAAGACTCTGTCTCAAAAAAAAAAAAGATTTTTGTCTTTTTTGGGTTTGTCTTTGGCCACGAACTGTGGAAACAAATTGCAGCTGCTGATTGAACTGTCTTGGTCGATCTAGGTGCCCATGGTAAGAGTGTATTCTCTGATGAGACCAACTGGAATCAAGATGCCAATTGAGTCTGCACCGCCCAGACTAACACCTTTGCTTTCTGGATCGATCATTGTACCAGACATGGCAGCACACCCCCCACAGACTGGGCACCCAGTAGAGGACTCTGCTTCAGATGCACAAGCTATCACTGCATGCCAGACTTGCGACTCCTAATCAAAGGAGTAACAGGTGAGCTGTTTGTCTCTGGGGAGGAGGCCGCATTGCACAGGGTGTGGCAGTTGAGTCCATCCAACCTTTGAACCCCTTTTGGGGCTTCTGGCTCACTGCTGTTGACACTTTTTCAGGTTACAGTGCTGTTGTCCTGGTCCAATCAACTGATTCTGGCACATGAAACTAACTTGGAGGTGCTTTAAACTAATCTTCGTCATACTTCTGGCTTTCTGGACATTGCAGTCTAACAACCTTTTATGGCAATGGGCACAACGTCGTCAATGGGACTTTTAGACTGCCCACCATCCACAGGTATCCAGTATTTTCTATTTTTTATTTTTTTAGAGACAGGGTTTCTCTCTGTTGTCCGGGCTAGAGTGCAGTGGTGTGATCATAGCTCAGTGTAGCCTTGAATTCCTGGGCTCAAGTGATCCTTTTGCCTCAACCTTCCAAGTAGCTGGGACTTACAGGCATGTGCCACCACATTCAGTTAATTATTTTTATTTTTATTTTTTTTTAGAGAATGAGTCTTTCTATGTTACCCAGGCTGGTTTTGACTCTGGGCTCAAGTCATCCTCCCGCCTCAGCCTCCCAAAGTGCTGGGATTACACACATGAGTCACTGGGCCCAGCCATCTAGTATTGTTAAGTGTTGGAACAGCCTCCTCAAAAATCAGCTCAATACAATTTCTGACTCTGCCTCCATTGCCTTTTCCTGGTCCCTATATATTAGTAAGATAGTTTGGTCACTGAATATGACCATTCATAGAAAGAGAGCCTTCCCTCTTGACCACTGCCTGGGTACTAATCAAGATGAAAAGTGGGGATGTTCTATAGAACTATTTTGAAAATTCAGGATTTGCTTCTGGGCACGATGCTTCTTTCTTGCTCCTAATGGCAGCCCCATCCCACCTGGTTAGTTCACCCCGTGGTGGCTGCCCAGCCAAAAGGGGGCCTAGGGGACTCAACTTCAATGCTGATTAAGTGTGTGTGTGTGTGTGTGTGTGTGTGTGTGTGTGTTTAATATTAACTCTTTATATAATTTGTTAACATTCAAACTAATTATGAAGTAATATCAAATATGACAATCTGGGCCAGGCGTGGTAGCTCATGCCTACAATCCCAGCATTTTGGGAGGCCGAGGCTGGCAGATCACCTAAGGTCAGGAGTTCGACACCAGCATGGCCAACATGGTAAACCCCATCTCTACTAAAAAAATACAAAACTTAGTTGGGCATGGTGGTGGACACATGTAATCCCAGCTACTCAGGAGGCTACGGGATGACAATTGTTTGAACCTGGAGGAGGAGGTTGCAGTGAGCCAGGATCGCACCACTGCACTCCAGTCTGGGCAACAGAGCAAGACTCCATCTCAAAAAAAAAAAAAAAAAAAGGTATGACAATCTGATTTTGATTTTTTTCTCCAAGAATTTTGTCCCCCAAACTGAAGAACAATTCTGTGTGAGACCACAGTTCTCAAACTGTGTCCTGAGGCACCCAAGGTGCCACAGCAGAAAGCCCCACAGAGCACCAGAGAATATTTTAAATTTTTAAGGGAAACATGATGATACTCAACATCTGTAGGAAATCATGCAAACTGCTATGAAAAGATAGATCATGGTTTCAACATTAGATTATTATCCTTTAGATAACATTCTAACTTCGTGAAGTTGGACTTTCTGCAGTTGCTGTGATAAAAAGTAAATATTGTATGAATACCAGTGTAGAGGAAATAAGTGTGGTGGTGTCCAACCTGATACTAAGGTTTCAGCAGCTCCCAGTACATTCCATTAGCAAGTAATTGTGGTTACTTAAGAATGGGATAAAAGTGCCAGGCGCAGGGGCTCACGCCTGTAATCCCAGCACTTAGAGAGGCTGAGACAGGCGGATCACGAGGTCAAGAGATCGAGACCAGCCTGGCCAACATGGTGAAACCCCCTGTCTCTACTGAAAATACAAAAATTAGCTGGGTGTGGTGGCACGTGCCTGTAGTTCCAGCTACTCGGGAGGCTGAGGCAGGAGAATCGCTTGAACCCGGCAGGCAGAGGTTGCAGTGAGCCGAGATCACACCACTGCACTTCCGCCTGGCCACAGAAAGAGACTCCATCTCAAAAAAAAAAAAAAAAGGGATGAAAGTATTATTTTTATTTCAACTCATATGTGTTCTTTCTTTCAAATGGCTACTAAGTTGTGAAGACATGAATATGTATCAAGACATTTAGACCTAACTATTTAATTAATGAAATTGGGCCGGGTGCAGTGGCTCACACCTGTAATCCTAGCACTTTGGGAGGACTTTGGGAGCCCGAAGCCGGTGGATCACTTGAGGTCAGGAGTTCGAGACCAGCCTGGGCAACATGGCAAAACCCCGTCTCTACTAAAAATATGCCAAAAATACTTAGTCCAGTGTGGTGGTGTGCGCCTGTAGTCCCAGCTACTCAGGAGGCTGAGGCAGGAGAATTGCTTGAGCCCAGGAGGCAGAGGCTGCAGTGAGCTGAGACCATGCCACTGCACTTCAGCCTGGGTGACAGAGCATGACTTTGTCTCCAAAAAAATAATAATAACAAATAATGAAATTGTTAGGTATTTCTTTTGGCCTGGATTTCTAGGGAAAAAATGGCCTTGTCCTTCTTGTACCTGACCCTTAGGCCTGGGTGTGACAGAAGGTTAATTTATAGCTACTGGAATGAGACACCGTGGAGGGAGAGTAATGACTTTGGCCAGGAAGGGACCACAGGGACCACCTCAGTCCCTGGGAGATATGGGAGAGAGGAGGACAGTAATGATCTTTGTCTATCAGAACTGCTTCTGGAGCCTCCTTACAAAGGAAAATACCCTGGTTTTCTCAAACTGTTGTAAGCCCCTTATCTTATTTTTTTGAGACAAAGCCTCACTCTGTCGCCCAAGCTGGAGGGCAGTGGCGCGATCTTGGTTCACTGCAACCTCCACCTCCCGAGTTCAAGTGATTCTCCTGCCTCAGCCTACAGGCATGTGCCACGATGCCTGGCTAATTTCTTCTGTATTTTTAGTAGAGATGGGGCTTCACCATATTAGCCAGGCTGGCCTCATACTCCTGACCTCAGGTGATCCACCTACCTCAGCCTCCCAAAGTGTTGGGATTACAGGCATGAGCCACCACGCCCGGCCCCATTACATTTAATTGGCTGCTGAGTCTGCCAGCCCCTGCCAGACCACTCTGACCTTGATTTGACCATCATCCTCCTTCATCTTAGCTAAAAGTTTGCTGGCATCAGCAGGGGCTGGACCTGGACCTATCTCTTGCACCTTCCCATAAAACACCAATCAGCACCTCCAGATGCCTTCCTCACCCCCATTCCTTTAGCCATTCTTCAGCCATTCCACTGAGTGGATGAATGCCACTGGCTGGTGGTGTGGATAAATACAGCAGGGTGAGCTGGCTACCTTCTTGTAGTTCCTTCAAAAATAAGGACCAGGCTGGACATGGTGGCTCATTCCTATAATCCCAGCACTTTGGGAGGCTGAAGTGGGTGGATCATTTGAAGTCAGGAGTTTGAGACCAGTCTGACCAACATGGTGAAACCCCGTCTCTACTAACAATACAAAAAACAAACAAACAAACAAACAAACAAAAAAACAAAATTAGCTTGGTGGCAGTGGAGCATGTCTGTAATCCCAGCTACCTGGGACGCTGAGGCGGGAGAATTGCTTGAGCCTGGGAGGTGGAGGTTGCAGTGAGCTGAGATTACACCACTGCACTCCAGCCTGGTCAACAGAGTGAGACTCTGTCTCAAAACAAACAAACAAACAAAAAACAAAGAACAAAAATAAGGACCATATCCAGTTTTTTGAACTGGTCTAGGAACCCTAGAGCTACAGACTTTCTGGGAGGCTATGTTGGAGGCACTGTCAACCTGTGCCTACCCAGCTGATGTAACATCCTACTTGGGGGGCCCAAAAATGATAAACAACACGTTTTTTTCCCAGGACCACCATGAGCACCCTTGGTATGTGGAAGCTAGGCATTAATTTGCCTCCTTCTGTAAATCACGGTGACTTGAACCTTATAGTGAGTGGTAAGAGACCTTAAGGAAACACCACGAGTAGATTGTATGACCCTCAGACAACTGCAGAGATCTCGTCAAATGAGGCTACCCTAAACTGCTCAGAGGTAACTGACTTGTTATTTATGTATACTCTATGGGGAGTTATCCTTATAATGGGAGTCATCCAATCAGAAAAGGCGGTATGAAATTTATCCCTGAATTTCACTGAAGTGACCAGTGATACCATCTTGGCTCTCAAAGGCATTAGGTCAAAAAAACTTTGCAGTTCTTGACAAAAGCCTGGTCCATAATAAGCCCTATGTAAGTATTTGTTAAACAAACAGCAAATACAAAATATAGGCAATATATTTTGTATTAATATATAGCAAATACAAAATATAGGCAAATACAAAATAAAGGCAATAAAGCATATTATCTGTGTCAATCAAATCTTTCACAGCCTCTCTAATTTTTTTTGGTTTGCTTGATTGGTCAATTAGTGAGAGCTTGTTGTCTCCTATTATGTTGGCAGATTTTTCTACTTCGTATTAATCAGCTTTTGCCTTATATATTTTGATGCTATGTCATTAGCTGCATGTAAATTTAGAATTGTTTTAACTCCTTGAATCTTGTCATTATTAAGTGAGCCCCTTTTTCTCTAATACTACTTTTTGCTGTAAGGTTTTCTTTGTCTGATACTGACATGGCGACTCCAGCTTGCTTGCTTTTTTGGAGGGTTAGTGCTTGCTTGATTTTATTTATTCTTATTTTTTAGAGAGACGGGATCCCACTCTGTCACCCAGGCTAGAGTGCAATGGCAGGATCCTAGCTCACTGTAACCTCAAATTCTTCTGCTCAAGCACTCTTCTCGCCTCAGCCTTCCAAGTAGCTAGGACTACAGGCATGCATCACCACACCCAGCTAATTTTTTTTTTTTTTTTTGTAGAAATGGAGTCTCACCAGGTTGCCTAGGCTGGTTTTGAACACCTAGCCTTAAGTCATCTCCCACCTCCCAAAGCACTGGGCCTATGTTTTCACCATCTGAATTTCAACCTTTCTCTATCATTGTATTTTATGTCTACTTATGTCTATCTGTACCTACTAAACGCTATATAGCAGGATTTTTGTTTTTAAAATCCAATCTGATAATCTCTGTTTTTTTTTTTTTTTTGAGACAGAGTCTTGCTCTGTTGCTCATACTGAAGTGCAGTGGCATGATCTCAGCTTACTGTGACCTCCGTCTCCTGGGTTCAAGTGATTATCCTGACTCAGCCTCCTGAGTGTAGAGTTAATTCTTATTACCCTCCTCCAGAACCTTATAATGCTTTTATTATAATTATCTCTCTCCTGACTTATATGCCTATTTTTCTTAACTTCTTGGCTCTATCATTTTTTTTTTTTTTTTGGCTTTTTAAAAACTTCATTGTATTGGACATCTCTATGAACCTTTGCACATCTTCTCAGTCTTATCTTTCTCTTTATTTAGGCAGCACTGTGTTGACCAGTTCTCTGTGGGTACCCACCAGGTCTACACAGATACAACCTGATAGTACTTAACCTCAGGCTTGCTCTGCGCATCTTCTCCCTTCTTCCCTGAGACTTTCATGTTGACGACAAGGCATGGAACAGGATGGGAACACCATGGTGCAACTACAAAGTACCGGGGTTTAACATTCCTTGAGGTATGTCTTTGACCAAAGGAAAGGAGAGAGTCAATGGTACAAGCATCCTCCTTGCTCCTGTAGGATAGGTAGTCTTGCCATGGACTTCATATGGCTTCTGAAATGGTCCTGATGGATACAGCAACCAGATCATTGTAGCAGTGGCCAACTTCCTAATGCATCTTTGAGTAAGCTCTCCCTCCCTCCCTGCATCATTCCCCTGTCCCTCACTCCTAATCCCTGGGATCACACTCTCCAGTCAAATACTTGCACTTAATCTGTCTCAGGCCCCACCTTCTGAGGATCTAGGCTAAGTCATCCATCTATTGCACACTATTATTACCCCTTTATTCAGTCACTTACTACACTCATGATTCCTTTTTTCTTCCCAGACTTTCCTTCTGGGGGCTTTTTTTCTACTTCTTCTTCTTCTTCTTTTTTTTTTTTTTTTTTTCTCTTTTTAACAGAGTCTTGTTCTATTGCCCAGGTTGGAACACAAAGGCATGATCTTGGCTCACTGCAAACTCCACCTCCCGAGTTCAAGCGATTCTCATGCCTCAGTCTCCCAAGTAGCTGGGATTACAAGCATGCTCCACCATGCCTGGCTAATTTTTGTATTTTAGTAGAGACAGGGGTTCACCATGTTGCCCAGGCTGGTCTCAAACTCCTGGTGTCAACTGATCTGCCTGCCTAGGCCTCCCAAAGTGCTGGGATTACAGGGTGAGCCACCTCAGCTGGCCCATTTTGCTTTATCTTCATGTTAAGAAATTTCGTTAGAGAGGGTTTGTTGGAGGTAAATCTGTCAGTTTATGTTTCTTTGAAAATGCTTTATTTTACCCTTGTTTTGGAAATAAAATTTCACTGGGTATACAATATCTAGGTTGACACATTTTTTTCCCTTAGTCTCTCAGGCCTGTGGATATATTGTACCACTGTCTTCCAGGATTTTCTATTAATATTACTAAGTCCACTTATCACTCATTTATAGATAATGTGGTTTTTTTTTCTTTATGACTGCGTTTTTAGATCTTTTCTTTGCCTTTGGTATTCTGCATTACAATGATGATGTGCTGAGTGTAGATTTCTTTTTACTTCTCTGTTTCAGAGTCACTGGTCTTCTTGAAGCTAAAGATTTGTATCTTTCATCAAATCTAAAAAGCTCATACCCATTAAATCTTTGAATATTGCCTCTGCTCTTTTTTCTGTGTTATCTCCATCTCAAACTTTATTGGGCCTTTTCACTCTGTTCTCTGTGTTTTTAGCCTCTCATATTTTCCATCTCTGTCTCTGTGCTACATTCTAGGTAAATATTTCAGCTGATCTTCTAATTCATTATGTCTCTTTTTAGCTGTGTATATTCTCTTGTGTAATTTTCCTTGAAGTGTTTAATTTCTATCACATTATTCATTTTTATAAGTTCTATTTTGGTTCTTTGCCAAACTTGCCTCATCAATTTTGGTTACCTTTGCTTTTTTTTTTTTTTTTTTTTTTTGAGATAGGGTCTCATTCTGTTGCCCAGGCTAGAGTGCAGTGGCGCAACCAGAGCTCACTGCAGCCTCGACCTCCCAGGCTCAAGTGATCCTCCTACCTCAGCCTCCCAAGTAACTGGAATTACAGGCATGCACCACCATTCCTGGCCAATTTTTTTTTTTATTACTATTTTTTTGTAGATAGCATTTTGCCATGTTGCCCAGGCTGGTCTCAAACTCCTAAGCTCAAGTGATCTGCCCGCTTCAGCCTCCCGAAGTGCTGGGGTTACAGGTGTGAACCACTGCACCTGGCCTGCCTTTGCTCTTTACTCATTGTTGCATTTGCCACCTTTATTTCTTGAAACATATTGTTTCATATTTATGAAATATGCTATTTATTTATATTCTGTGTTCAGTGACACTATTTTTTGAAATATTTCTGGATCTGGTTCTGTTCACTGTAGTTTCTGTATGTTATTTTGTAGTGTTTCTTTTTGTTTTTGGTTTGGGTTTTTTGAGACGGTCTCATTCTGTCGCTCAGGCTGGAGTGCAGTGGCACGATCTCAGCTCACTACAACCTCCACCTCCCAGGTTCAAGCGATTCTCCTGCCTCAGCCTCCTGAGTAGCTGGGATTACAGGCGTGTACCACCATGCCTGGCTAATTTTTCTATTTTTAGATCTCAAAAAATAAAAATAAAATAAAGGGAAAAGAATAAAGATGTTGGTATCATATTCACACAATGGATGGTTAATCCAATAAGAAGGACAACTGCTGTGGCAATGATAAACCCCAAAATATGTTTAAATGAAAGAAACCAGACCATAAGAGACCACAATATTGTATGATTCTCATTTATGTGAAATGGTCTAAAAAGATAAATCTATTAGAGACACGAATGTAATAACTAGGCTGGCTGTCTGAGGGTGGGAATTAGGTGATGAACTTGTAATGTGCATGAGGGCTTTTATTAGGATGACAGAAAATGTTCAAAAACTGATTTTGGCAATGTTTCACCACTTCTTAAATTTATCCAAAATTTATTGGTAATAGGATCATAATTATATGATATGTTAAAATACATCTTCTTTTTTTTTTTTTTTGAGATGGAGTCCAGTTTCTGTCACCCACAGTGTCCTAAGAGTGCAGTGGTGTGAATCTTGGCTCACTGGCAACCTCCGCCTCCTGGTGTTCAAGCAATTCTCCTGTCCCTCAGTCTCCCAAGTACCTGGATTTAGCTCCGCGTCCACGATGCCCAGGCCAATTTTCGTATTTTTAGTAAGACAGGGTTCACTATGTTCGGCAGGCTGGTCTTGACCCTCCTAACCTCCATGATCTACTGGCCGCCTCGCCCTCCCAAATGTGCTGGGATTAAAGCATAAACACACACCGCAGCCTAAAATATATCTACATAGAGGTACATTTCCTTTTAAAAACCTACATTAAAAACAAGGCAGAGCACTTTGGTTAGGCCTGCAGTGGCAGACTCTTTAGGTTAGGAGTTTTGAGACCCAGCCTGGCCAACATGGTGAACCCCATCTCTCTAAAAAATAAGAAAATAGC